GAAAGGAACTACATTTTGGAAGGAAACAACTGTATTGGGCAACTTTTAAGAAAATGCAGAAGTATGCATAACATTTGGGGAATACATTAATCTTCTTCCACTGGTTGCACTGGGAAATCTCTGTGGTAAATAAGAGGAGCAATGGCATGCAATTAAAAGTAATATGCTTATTTTGCTGTTTAACACGTGCTTTATCTGTCTTTCTAGCATGAAGGCAGAACTGGAGAACTCGAACTATGCCAGTGGCCAGCTCATGCTGTTGCTTAACTGAAGAGACACTCTTAAATAAGAGTATCTAATTTATGGCAGTTATTACATGTTAACCAAATGTATGTCTGGTCCTGTATTCATTAGAGTAATAGATGGGTTATATTCAAGCAGTTAAACCTGTTATATTCCAAACCAGGAAGGAATGTTTGATAGAAGCAAGGTCTTTCCTTAGTATTTTATCTCATCCAAAGGATGGATAGCAAAATCATGCCAGCTAAGGGCAGGTCATGGTGAGGCTTGTATGGACAACATTATGAGTTGTCATTTGGAAAGCAGCTGTGAATACTCATCTGTACTGACAGAAACGGAGAAAGAGTTACAGAATCGTAGCGTACCACCATAAGGCTCGTCGGCATAACAGCAGAGACTGTGAATTGTCCATGTTCTGTTGGTTACTACCTGTCCTATCTTTCCCTTCCTTTTTTGGATGAAGTCTTTTCACTTGAAGCTGAGAAATGAAATATGATGTACAGGATAAGTTTAAAAGTGAAGAAATAGTTTTTAAAGATTATTTGTTCTGCTTCCTGAATCACTGAAATGTTAAATCATGAATTCATTATGGTATGCTATACCCAGAAAAGTAGGTTGTAGTGTGGCAATTCTGTATTTAGGTCTCAGCTAAGATGGAATTTCTGACCAACGTTATACAGAAATAAAGAGAGGCTGGTTTGTGTCTTTGTCAGGGCACTAACCCAGGTGTCTGGGCGTTCAGTACCAAAGTCAGTGCTCTGTTTTAATAAAAAAAAAAAAAAGAAAAGATCCCACCCCCACTGTTTCTGTGCCCACTGTTTAACCCAATCACAACACTGCTGAAGCAAGAGAGATCATTTTTCTATTGCCATTTAGTGGAAATTAAAATAAGACAAACAGTACATTTATAAACCAGCCTTGGTAAGAGCTTGACTAAATTGATACAGCTAAATAAATACATAAAAATTAGAATAATTCATAGACTTAGAGCATTATTAAGTTCAGAGAGTAAGATATTTGCATTTCACTGTAAAACTTGTTCAAAAGAAGTACTTATTTTCATATTCATTTGGTGAAGACAGTCGATAAAAAGATTGCTTTTTTTTATTGGCTTAATCTGTTGCAAAGCATGTAAACATGTAGTTCAATAATAATTAAATAATGCAAAACTTACAGTAATGTTTTATCTGGAAATACATCTGGAGGAAAGCAAATGCTATTTCCTGAACTGTCAGCAGAGGGCACAAACATTTATATAAAAAGTTTGGGCGTTCCTAAGTGTTGCTGTACAGTAGGATAGAGTTACAGGAAGTTTTCTTTTTGTCTTTTTCTGAGTACATTTTCTGCTTTATCGGAGAGCAGGGTTTTCTGGTGAGAAACTTTTCATTTTATTGATCTTATGTGGTTGCTAGTTAGCTAAAACTGTTGTATTCTGCAGCTTATTTGAAAATGAGCCATGTTTTCCATAGAGGGTTATTAGCAAGTGTATCCTGTACTTTCCAAGTGTGGGGGTAAGAAATGAGAGTAAAGTTGCTTATGTTCAGTAATGTTATCCAAAGGAAGAAGTGGACCTAATAGCAGTCTCTTTGTATTGGCACTACACCAGTAGCTTAAGGGGATCACAGTGATTTAATGGAAATTGCTTCTCTACACTTCAGAAATGACTCTGACTTGATGATATGTTTCATCTGTGTGAAAGACATTTTAAACATTTGAGTTTTGTATTATGCTGACAACTTGAGAAATGCATGCCTTAATACTGAACAATCATAGCTGAATGCGTTCTGTGCATTTCTTTTATGAAAGTTCAGTCAGTTTATACCAAGTTTATATTGGAAAAACTCTTAAAACCTCAATTTCCCTTTCTCTCTTGCTCTTTAAACAACAGGACAATTTCTCCCTGTAATCTTCATTTGCTTACCCTACTGGATTGCTTCCCTACTTACATCTTGATAATGATCTTTTTGTCAAGTTTGTAGACTTGAGGATACTTCTGAACTAAAAGGGATAGGACTGTAAAGGATGATTTCTCCAGTGTTAGCCTCCAAATCATGAGTCATGTGTTACAACAGTTAATTTTGTTGCTTCACAGGATATTCTGGAAAGTTTGAAGGCACTCATAAATAATTTTGCTGAATGCCATAATCCAGGAATGAGAAAGAAAATTAAGCAGGTGTGAAAGAATCATAACCTTCTTTCTCTGGGTCCCTGGGTATTGCTGAAATTTTGTCCTAAGTAGAAGTAATTATTTGAAGACAGATTTTTTTTTTTTTCATATTTCTCTTGAAGCTACATATTTTGTTTGATTATATACACATTAGTAGCGTTGCTCAAACAATCGGAAGAACAGGATAGAGAATGCTGATTATCTTTTGTTCTCTGCTATGCCCAAATGCCTTTTAATGGCTATGATGGTAAAACTGCATATAGTTTTTCCAAATGAAAATCTGGATAAAAGGCTGGAAAAGTTTTGCCATATTGCTCACTATTTCTAGATGATTTACAAGCCTCGTTTCATGCATTCTTTATGAAAGAAGAACTCAGTGAACTGGTTTTTTATTTTTTTTTTTTTTTGTGGTACTGTTGAGATTTCATAGTAGAGATTGTGTTAGATCAAGGAGAACATACATTTAATACCCACTAATGTAATTCTAAAGACAGCTTGTGGAATGGTTAATGGTACAGAGGATGTAGTCCTCAGGATTGTAGCTTTAATCCAACAAGTGACAGCTATTACTGCCTCATTGTAGACTCACTAGAAATCATTGTAGAAATATGAACTCACAATTTATCAGTTTCGATATAAAGGGAAATTTGAAAGCTAGTGCAGTCATGAATAAGCACTATGGAAAGCTTCAGACAACAACTACAATTTCAAAGGAATGGGAGGAAGAGGGGTGGAACATTCCAAGGAAACAAAAAGATTTCAGAAAACCAGAAAATAACTTCAGATCAAGATTTACACATATAAAAGTGATATCTAAGTTCTTACCAGTTCCTCTTTCAGAAAGACAGTCTAATAGATTTATGGCAATATCTAAAAGGAGATTTAAAGTGGTGTATCAGGTCTGGCTGAGCTGATCTTCCCCTTGCAGCCCTCCTGGTGCAGAGCTTTTCTGTTGGGAGCTAGAAGGGTGTTGATAACACCCACATTGTGACTGCCACTGAGCAGTGCTTTCACAGCACCAAGGCCCTTCCTAACATTCCCCCCACAATGGGATGGAGGGGGGCAGGAGCTTGGGGAAACATAACCAGGACAGCCAACCTGAACTGGCCAAAGGGATGTTCCATACCATATGACGTCTGTTCAGCTATGAAGCTGGTACAAAGCAAGGGGGGTGTGTGCTACTCCTTGGTCCTCCGGAGCAGCTGCTATGTGGTTATGTGTTTTGGAGTCCTGCTTCCGAGGAAGAAGCCAGACATCACCTGCTGATGGGAAGTGGAGAATAAATCTTTGGGTTTTTTCCCTCTGCATCCACATGCAGCATCACTTGCCTTTGATTTCTAATTAAACTGCCTTTGTTTTTACCCACAAGGCTTTTATCTCTGTCTTATTTTCCTTTCCCCTTTTTCCTCTGAGGAGGAGGGAGAGGAAAGGGGGAGGGTGATAGAGGGGCTTGCTGGGCATCCCTTGCTCAGCCAGGGTTAACCCACCACAGGTGGCATTCACAAAGCAGAGTTAAAAAAAGAAGGGCCGTCTACCCTAAAGTCCTACCTTCAGAAAAGGAAAGTGTCCTCCATTAGGGAAAAACAAAGCAAAGCCATGGTTATGATTTTTCCTCAATTTTTGTTTAAAATAGCTTCTCTTTCTCAACAGAGACACTTGAGGTCAGCCTCCTTAGATCAGGGCCAGATTTTGTTTACAGAGGGTCTACAACTGTTTTTTTTTTTTTTTTTTTTTTTTTTTTTTTTTTTTTTTTTTTTTTTTTTTTTTTTTTTTTTTTTTTTTGTTTTGTTTGTTTTCTGTAGCATGCAAATATTTTCAGTGTGTGTTTGGTGTCCTCTGTGTGCACCTGACAAGTCAGCCATAGGGACACCCCCCTTTCAGAGCCTAAATTGAGATGCTCAAGCCCAGACAAGAAGTGAACTCTTCTGTGGACTTTCCCATAGCATAAACATAAAACATCCTACCCCCAGCCCCTGTATCACTACTTAAAATAAACACTAATGACCAGTCTCAGCCACCTAAAGACATTTAGATTTTGATTCACTTTCTTGAACCTCCATCTTGTGTTTCAGTCCAGGTTTTATCATCACAAGTTCATTTTAAAAAAGTCTTTGAGTCTAGTTCATATCCTTCAAGAGAGAATCTGGAGAGGGAATGACCATACTGATCTCAAATATTCTAATTTCTGTATTATACAGTTGTGGGAAGTCTTTATAATACACTGAATCATGGCAGTAATTCTGTAAGTAAGCAGCAAATTTTAGTCAGTTATGAATCAGACGTGTTTTGTAAGAAACAAACTCATTCTATATTAAGTGCAGCATGTTTACCAAATAGGGATTTCAGTGGTGTTCTTTTAATAAAGAATGCCTCCCCTGAATGATAATAGATGCCTTCATTGCTTATTGAGTCAAAGGGAGAGATGAGAAATTGGAACCTTGAAAAAATCAATTTCTGTGATGGCTGCTTCATAGCCACTTAATGGTACTAACTGGGGTTTATTTTTGTTTGTCTGTTTTGCTACAGGATTAGAACAAAGATGGACAGACTGATAAGAAGAGTATTGAGCATCTGCAAGGAACCAGAAACCAGTATGACAGAAAACAGAAGGTCTTTCAGAAACTTTTTTCTTTACAGTTGTCTGTTTGCATTAACTATTTGGAAACATGTCAGCCCGTCTCTGGAAAATGAACTCGTTACATCTGTTCATAATGATTTTCAAGAAGATGGTTCAGTCAATAGCCTGCCGCTGCCATATAGAAGTAGTCATCAGTCAACAGCTGATTTGGACTGGGTTGTGATAGAAAATACTACAGAAAGCCTGTCATTGTCAGAGATCACAAATCACAATGTAAAAAAATTAGTGGTGTTATTATCTAATTTCAGACAAGGCTCCAGGTTACAAAATCTGACACTGACAAATGTCTCAGTGGACTGGAATGCTCTTATTAAAATTTTTCAAACTGTATGGCATTCATCCATTGAATACTTCAATATGAACAATGTAATACAATTGTCAGAGGTAGAAAGATATAACTTTAACTACTCAGGTACCTCTATGAAAGCAATTACAATGAAGAAAGTTACAATCACAGATCTGTTCTTCTCACAGGATGACCTATACGACATATTCGCAAACATGAATATTGCAGCTTTGACAATAGCTGAATCGCAGATGATACATATGGTGTGCCCTCTGTCGGACAGTCCCTTTAGATACTTAAATTTTATAAAGAATGATTTAACAGATCTTCTTTTTCAAAACTGTGAAAAATTAATTCAGCTGGAGACATTGATCTTAAAGAAGAATAAATTTGGGAGCCTTCACAAGGTAAGCTTCATGAC